TTAATTTTTTAACGTGCGCTGTTCTAGATTTAGCTATCACTAACTAAGTTATTAAGAAAATGGCAAATTAGTTTTGTTGGAGTTGAAGCTTGGTAGAGGCTGCTCTAAGGAAGTTCACATGCTTGAGACTAGAATGATATTTAGATAATAAAAGTATTTCATCTGCTCATTTTTACTTGACATGTATATTAAAAATAAATTTTTATTTTTATTTGTTACTTTACATATATCAACAGAAATAATTTTTTTTCTGTTATATTCACAATATTTATTACTCATTTTAAATTATTTTTTTAAATTCAATAAAATATATATTAATTAATATGAGTATTATAATAAATTATATATTTTATTTATTATTTTTTAAGGGGTATAAAAAGTCAAAACGTATCAAATAAAAATGAAGAGAATATATAGGATAGATACAAGAAGAATCTGAGAAGAGTGTGGACAGGACAATTTGTGGATATTGTTGCTTAAGAGGTAGGCCAGAGTTATCCTTATACTTACCTTTATCTAGTGGGATCAGATACTATAATGACTTGAACTCGTCGGTAGCAAATGTCTTTTGGATTCAGAATTTAAGGTTTATATGATAAATTTTTAAAGTTTTTAGTATTTTTATATTGAATATATTATATATTTATAGTTATAAGTTTATATATTTTAATACTCTTCATGTCTTAAATTATTTATCGTGTTTCTTTTTTATACGTTTTTTAAGAAAATATTAAATATTTTTATTTATATCTTAAGATATAATTTCCCTTCATTTAATACTTACTCATAATTAAGGTATTTATAGTCTTCAAAAATAATTAATATTAATAGTACAATAAGAAAAAAATAATTAATTTACTCTTGAACTTCTAAAACAATAAATAATTTGAGACAACTATTTTTTAAAACCATCACTAATAATTCAAGACGGAAGGAGTACTATTTATTATAATTATAGTAAAGTTTTACACACACACACATATATATATATATATATATATATTATATCTAAAGTGCCGAATTCAAATGAACCCGATATCATAACTCTACATCCGTCTTTAGTCGGTAGCCTTTTAGTTTTGATGTTTTTTTTAGTTATTCAGTATTCAAAATGCATCCACTTGAATTTTTGCCAGTTTGATTGCGGAAAAAAATCTACCAAAAAAAATTCCATTGTCAAAATTCGAATCCGAAGAGGTGTAGTTTCTCAACTATTGAACATCAGCTTTTGATGATATTGTTTTTGGTTGTCCTAATCTGCTTTTTCTTATATTCCCATGCTAAATCAGAACTCGACATATACCCCCGACATTGTTTGGCAAAGATTATGACATGACCCCTCCAATTATGTTTCATGGGAATCAATGCCACCTTTATTTTTATAGTTCCCAAAACATAGTTAGCTAACTAAATCCTATGTCCATTAACTTTTCCTTTTGCAGTTCCATTATCTGCGCGCTGTCAAATTTTTTTGTTACTCCTTCCGGACCACAATAAATGATTTACACCAATTAAAAAAATATAAAATTTTAGACAAAAATAGTTAGTATGATTAAATTATCCTTAATTAAATATTACAATATAGTTAATGTGAGGAGTAAAATACTTTTTAGGGATACGTATATAAGGATAATTTTAAAAAAATAAATTAAATTTTTTCTTAATTATATAAATAGACACTTATTTTGAATCAAAATAAAAAGATAAATTAATTACTTATTTTGGACGGGAGGAAGTAATGAGTTTCTCTTCGACCCGTGATTTAAAAACAGTCAAACCATGGCCTTATTTGAAGTTATGTCCAAAACGAGTGATGTATAAAATATAGTACAAAGAATCTACAGCCCTTCTTCTGCTCTCATGTTCTATGGCTCACGGAGCTAATAGTCACTTGCCATTTCTTTTGGCTCATAAGCTAGCGTTTGACAGTAGATTTTTAAATTTGTTTTGAAAATTTTGATTTAGGTGAAGTTTGATTTGAAACTGAAAATGTGTTTGGACATGATTTTTCAAAACATATTTCACTTTTTATTTGAAAAAACATGAAATATGACTTAGACCCACACGTTCCAAAAACTATCACAAATATCCAATAATACCAAACAAACAAACTTGCTATTTTGTATATACATAACCTTCATTACTTAGATTACACATAGGAAGTCATTACTTATATTACACGTAGGAAGTCATTACTCAGATTACAATCATGCCTATACCACAACGTACAACTAAAATAATTAGCATCAGCGTTTCATGCATTAGAGTACAACATAACAAAATAAAAATAACAGTTAGCTCAATTTTTCTTTAAGTCGTTAAACCATTCGACTTGATTTTTTTCGATCATATGAACGAATATCTTGCGAAAGTTGGGGTTAAGCAAGAAAGACACTGCTGGTGAAAATTTTTCGTCAGCTAAACCATGTTTTTGCAAGACAAATTACAAGTGGGTAGTCACAGCTTCCTCAGAGTAGATATCAATCTCAGTTTCTTTCGAGAGCAGATACAAAGAAAGAAGCAGGAACAAGAGCAGAAATTGAGGTGATTATTTAAATGTGGACTCTTTTACAAACTATAAAAGTTTGGGGTAATATTTAAAAAATATAATGGTCATGTTTTGGCCCAAAATTAGCAATTGATGTGATTTTGGGATTTGGGATTTGGGATCTTGCTAAAATGTGAGCAAAATCTATGACCAAATATGTATTTGCCAAATAAATTCTAAATTTATTTTAGCAAAACTCATGCCCAAACAGGTTATAATGGTTTCTTCGATTTTCTCACCACTCCAGTTTGCGGGTAAATAAACTGTTCTTCGATAAACGCACCAGGTTCCATTCTTGCACTATTGTGTGAGTGTAAATAATATTAGGAAATTCTGTGAAACAAATTAAGTGCATTTTCAGTGGGGTAAAAGAAAAACTTCTCTCATTAAAGGCGAGTTAATTCTTTACCTTTCCCTCCCCCCAAGTAGTTTAGCGGAAATTCAAGTATATTCAAATTTTAAAAAAGTCAATAATTTTTTTTGTCGATGAATAATTTATTAAATTTTTTAGATTAAACTATGCAACATTTAACTAAACAATAATTTTATTTTAATAGAACTATAATTTTATAAATCAAAATAAAGTAACAAAAAGACAACATTAGAAGTTTTACTAATAAAATTAGCTTAAGACCAAAGGAAAGAGAGAGTCGAGAGGATTTGTAGTTTATAGAAAGCTTTTGTTGAAGAAATTTTTGTAGAACTTGACTTTTAATTATAAAAGTTATTTAGGAAATAAGTTTTAGTTAAAAAATTACTTTTAAGAATAGTTATTTATTTCTACACAAATTTTAAATTTAAGTGTTATTTTATTAGGAAAGTTTTTAGATTGAAAATGAACCATATATGGTTCCGTTTAATTTTGACAAATAAAATGGGCAGAACGTTAAACTCGTGAAAAACCTGAACTTATTACTTGAACAAAATCATGTTAAGTTTACGAACATTAATTGATAAATTAAAATAGGAATAATATTAATTAACTGTGATTAAGTGATAAACCTTATGTATTTGTTATTGCTTTAATACGTCACTGAGTACTGAGTACGTATTTTTCGTCATTTGTACTGCTTATTTGGCACTAGACTGGCATCAATTGGAATGGATAGAACCCTCCACCTAAATTAAAAATCTCGAGTTTGTGCCATGAGAATAAAAAAAATACCTGATAGGGATCACTTCCCCTTTTATGGTTTTACGCAACACAAATTCGAATTTGTATAGCCAATGTGGATATTGAACGCGGTGTGAAACCCCAAAAAAAGTTGAGTATTTGGCACTATCAAAGCTCTGTGAAGTATGCGCTAAAACAGTTCTGATTCCTTGAATCTCCTCTATTATAGTAGGTCATACTCCGATCACGACATTGCGAGTTACTCCCCTGTCCTTTTGGCCTTGCTCGTTCATATTTTACATCAAATTTAATTGCAGGCACTAGCCTACAATTATGCAGTCTTGTCCTTGTCGGTGAAAACAATTGCGAGGGTGAATTAGCTGTTAAATCTTCAAATCAAATGGAAAGATCACTGCTAATTCCAACAACTAATGGATGAAATTATTTACCTATGTCAATAGTACTGAACCTCTGTTTCCCACTGTCTGGTAGACGAGACAAAACGGAAAAGAAAATACGTCCCCCGCCCCCACCTACACTACCGTCGTGACGAGTGTCAAGCGCTCTTCCCTATCGACAAATCTGGCACTTTTTGTCTAATTTCTTGAGCACTAATTCCTTACCGACAGCAAACCATTTTGTAACAAATCCTCACCGATTCCCTACATAGATATGCAAGTTTAATAGGAGTACTATAGAAATTGTACCAAAAAATATATACGAGTTCTAAGAGTTGATGCAATACCTATTTGTAAAGGAGGAAAATGGCAGGTCCTGTGAGTGGTGACAGGCATTAAAAATATGAAAACGCCGTTGCCGGGTATCAAACCCGGGTCACCCGGGTGACAGGCGGGAATACTTACCACTATACTACAACGACTTCGTTGAGGTAGTTGTTTAGTCATTGCTATTTGACTATGTCTCTTCACATGATTCCTTTGCCATTCGCGCAGAATAGTGGCAGTAAGGATTTTGTTTCTTATTTCTCTTTATTCTTGGGTTTTTATAATTAAGCAGGGGTATACACTAGTACAAGTATACAACTGCAACTTTGGCATTTCGTGTCCAAATGAAGTTTTTGGTAGGCTAGGCTTTCACTCTTCTTACCGCCTATTTAAGCGACTCGATGCTAAAATAGAGAAATGGTATAGCGCGCTCCTCTTTTTCCCAGTTCTTTTCCCAAAATTTGCTCGTCTCAGAATGTATGAGTTGAAATAACTTCTTTTTTTTTTGATAATTAAGTCGAAATAACTTCTACTACCACTCGATATCCACTTTATATTCATAATTGTGACCAAACTTATGAGCTTTTTTCTTTTAATGCACGAGAGTATCGCGTGGAAAGAAACAACACTAGAGAGCAAGAAGAAATCCACTGGACCAGGATTTGATAGTTTCTTAATGCACAATCAAACTTGAATTATACAATTCATGTGTCATTTTTAACCTATACATGTTATACAGAGCTCCTATGTTTCCCACGCGATTGCAAGGACTTAAAAGACTCGGAATTTTTGACATATTGAAGGGGACCTATAGGGCATGAGGAAGATTAATAGTCTTGTCTCCAACAAAAGATTCTTCAGATCCATGGCTGCAAAAAAATTAACTCAATCTAATAAAAAACCACCTTATTGATCCTGAATTACACCACAGAAAGAACAATGATACTTCTTTTTTATAATAAAGAGAGTGGGGGTGTCCATGATGAGGTTTTACCTGAGGTTACTCAAAGCTGACATCCTGTATAGGCAGGTGAACACTAAAATGTGCAACCCAATGGTGTAAAAGAATGCAAAGGTACGGGCATATCTGCAACATGAAATTTTGCTTCACTTCATTACATGGCATTCAAATGCTGATTTTAATACAATCACATTTCAACTGTGAATATGGTCTTAAAATATTTCCTCTTTCCCCACTGCTTTAAAACCCACGAAGAGGGGAAAATGGCGTATAATGAAAGTAGTAGTCATATAAAATTATTGTACATTTTATTCCTGCTGAATCTAAGAACAACACTATTTTATACATTTACCTTTTAAATGAAATAAAATATATGAGACTCAAATCTACTATTAATACCATCCGGGATAAAACCAGTGACAACAATCAACAATGACATCTAACTTTTTCCATAAGCTAACTAAAGGGGAAACAGGATAGTGGAAGCTTACTTGTTACCAAGAAGAAAACGTCCACTGCTGAGAGTAATCTTGTCTCTCAAACCCAGTTCCTTGTATCTTTGGTCTCTTTCCTATTATAGGCAAAAAGATTTGATAAGATGCGGACCAACAATCTCCAATAGCATGAGTAAAATGGGTATGAGCATGAACAGATAGAGAAATGGAAACAAGGGAAATACAGAAAATTAAAGGGAAGCTATTGCACTGACTAGACAATGCAAATGTTGGGAAAAGACAGACAGATGAGAACATATAGAAACAGTTTAGAAGTTGGAACTTTAAATGTTTGTGCAATTTTTGTGATGGGACATTAAAAATAAAACGCAAAGGAAGCTGCTCTCATCAATTTAAATGATTCTGAAAGCTAATTCAGAGGCCTCAAATGAATGGACTTGGCAGATGGAGGCAAGTGGAGCAACTAAGTTTTACTAACACCAGCCTAACCGTGCCCTCTGGAAAAAAGACTTGGAATTCAATTAAGATGTGAAAGAAAAGTTGGGAACCTTCTTTGAGAATGCTGCAAATGGATTAATATCATCCTCATACATCTTCTTGTATTTGGATTCCACATCTGAGCTGAAACCACTTTCTAGGTCTTCTGCATACTGAGAATGAGAAGGCAGCATTTCAGAGAAAAGGAAATTGAAGCAGACTGAAATCAACAATAAATCCAGGTAGGTCACCTTCTTTGATCCTCTTGAGATCACTCTCTCAGAATTATAATCCTGAACATAACGGATCTTTCCGTAAAGTTTGACATTATCTGCTTTTGTTTTTTCGAGTTCTGAGGTCAACGCCCCTATCTTCTCGTTCAGCCGTCTAATTTCCTAGCAAGATCAAGAATTACAAACTAATGACTCTTGTAATCATAAAAGATAAAATAATCTGAGGTTTTTGGAAGGTGGGTGGAAAGATAGAAGTAGAAATCATTTCAATAAGAAAGGGAAAAAGAGTGAAACCTCCTCAGTTTCCTGCAAGCGAACCCGGAAGCGGTCTCTTTGGTTGCAAATCACCTTAAGCATAGAGTTTTGATCTTGGTCTGATGAAACATGCCTCTGTTCTGCATTCTATTCAATATATGTCAATATTTTATTTTTTTTGATAAGAAAATATATGTTGTTGATAAGTAAATATATGTCAACTTTTAGAGAGCTCATACTCATAAATATTATAGCGTTTTAGAACTTCAAATGCATGAATCAGAAGCATCGACCCTTTGGAAACCTAATCTTACACGTCAATAGATAACTCGAGGAAATTATCCATTGTATGATGGTTATCTATGATACCCATCAAATATTCTTTTCTCCACTCTTTAACGGATTTCATTAGTTTTTGTTGATCATTAACAGATGTCATTCATTTTCATCAACTGGATTCTTATTTCATTTTGTTTTAGATTGGTTTATCATCGCTTGTTCCTCTGCCTAACAGAGGTGGATCTCCAAGGTTACTGCAAGACTACTACTGGAGGTTATGCAATCCTTTGGAGGTAACCAT